TGGACTGGTTTCCCCTAGGCTTTTTCATGACACACAGGCAAGGGCAATGTCATCTCCATTGTCATCACAGTGATGGTAAGGGCCATGTACAGAGCCTTCATTGTTTTGCTTTTCCTTTTGATGCACAGTCCACCTTGTGAGACCCTTTGAGCCGCAGCCTCCAGCCCCCCTCTAGTGCTTGGCACTCGCTGATGCCTGGACTGGCTCCTCTGTGGCTGTAGGTGGAGCAGCTGACTCTGAAACTTAGCAAGTTCTGCCTAGTCCAGCTTGGACCACACTCAATGGAAACCATGCTAAAAAGTTTCCCTACACTCCGAGGCAATCCCTGACACCGAGTTCTCAATATTCTGTCGTGGATCTTACTCTGTAGAACAGGCTGGCCTCGAACTCAGATCCACCTGCTTCTGCCTCCCAGGTGCTGGGAGTAAAGGTGTGCGTTGCCACCCAGCTTTTTGAGCTCTGGTGCTAATCTGCCTTGTTGATTTCATCTGTTGACAGTAGGAAAAGATAAAGGCACACAGCATCAAGCATGCCCCAGCTCCTCGACGGACTTGGTGTCCTCAGCCAATTCTCACAGTGCAGTAAGGATGTCATTTTAGCTGAATGTTCTTCCCTGTTTCTAGCCTTACACATTAAAATGTGTTCCTCCAAGTCTGTAAGACAGTCTGGCTCCCAATGCAACTCCCAATGAGAAAGAACCTCAAGGAGGCAATAACAGATCAAAAAGTTATGAGGGTGGGGCTCTAATTCTGTAAGAAGAGGAAGAAATACCAAAAAAGCTCTCTTACTGTGAGAAACAGTAAGAAGGTGCACCACCCTTAGTGGAGTAGAGCCAAATTTGACACACGGTGCACCTGGATTTGTAGCCTCCGGAACTAATAAAATAAGGACCTGTTTAAGCCACCAGGTCTGTGTGTTATTGCAAACAAAGCTTGTATTCATGACTTTCCTGTAGCTGTGATAAAAACACCATGACCAAAAGTGGCTACATGGAAGGGTTTATTTTGGCTAACAGTTCCAGAGGGAGAGTTCCCATGGGGCAGGGAGTGGGGGTGCAGGGAGGGAGAGGCATGGCAGCAGAGAGCCAGAGCAGGGAGCCAAGAGGTCACATCCTTAGGAAGTAATGCCTCAAGCCTTTAATCCCAGCACTCAGGAGGCAGAGGCAGGCAGATCTCTGTGAGTTCGAGGCCAGCCTGGTCTACAAGAGCTAGTTCCAGGACAGGCTTCAAAGCTACAGAGAAATTCTGTCTCGAATAACCAAAACAAATAAAATAAATAAAGAAGAAAAAGTCACAGCTCAGCCACAAACACCCAGCACAGAGGATGATCTCTGTGGAATGAGGCTAGGAACTCTCAGGACCTGTCCCCAGTGATGCTCTTCTTCCAACAAGATTGGGACATCTCCCTAGACAGTACTCCCAACTGGGGACCAAGCATTTAAATACTATGGGTGCATTTCTCACCCAAACCACAAAGATATCTCCCACTTAGACCCCCAAAACCAGAGGTCAGGCAGTGTGTCAGAAACACTGACCCATCCTAACAAATCTCCCTCTTGGTGTTAAGGAGAGGGATAAAAAAAACCTACAGAAACTCTAGCTTCACCGCTCCTAATTGTCCTAAAACTGATCAAATTGAGGGAGGGGAGGAGATGGCTCAGTGGTTAAGTTTGTACTGCTCTTGCAAGGGATCCTAGTTCAATTCCCAGCATCCTTGGCAAGTACCTCCCAACCTTTTGTAACCCCAGCTCCTCTGACTCCTGTGAGCCCCTGCACTCACGTGCATATAGCGGCATACAGAAACACACACATACATGAGGTTTTAAATCGTTTAAGATTTGTTTGGTTTGGAAATCATATAGCCTGGTGAAACATTATATATAGCTTCTACCTTTTCTGTGTGGGTTATGGTAACAATAACTGGGCTGTCTTTTATGGACTCTGGGTGACTTGCAGAAAACATGAACTCTTCACTTGGGCCCGCAGGTGTCTTGCATGTCTACTGGGATTGGCTGAGAAGGGTTGTCACCTGTCCTCATACTCTGTCCCCTTTGCTGCCTTAAGCTTGGTGTTACAGTCTGCTCAGCTCTGTCTGTGGAGGTGGTGATCATTTGGGAAAACTTACCTTGGCATAGACTTGGCTTGTACTCTCCCCCCTCCCCCATTTTTCTCCCTCCTCTTCTTCCTCCCTACCCCGCAGTCCCATCGAAGCTAAATATACCCACAGCTACTAAGACTCAGGACCAGACCGTGACAAGAGTGAAGAGGTGGCCTCCAAGTCCCTGAGTGGTCCCTGCCCATTCCCAAGGAGTGATGAATGATAACCTCTGTCCTGCCCATGTCTCCTCATCACTTCTACCCTGTATCGGGAGCCCTCCAGCCCTGGGAGCAGAGTCTGGCCACCAAATAAAGCCTTTCTTTATCCCCGACACACATTTCTTTAATGCTGGTTGTCCTAGGCCTGGGTCTTGTGAGTTGAGGTATTTTTGTCAACTATGGCTTGAGTAGAAAAATACACTGAGGGACCCAAACATGACTTTTCTGGAAAAGCAAGTGGATGTAGCTCTGAGTAAATCTGGTGCCAGAGTCTCTGTTACCTCTAGGATGCCTCAGGATTTTACTTCCCACTGGTGTGAGTCTCATCTTGTCCCTGCCCTCCTCCCAAACCTCCTGCCGCCCTCTGTCCTTATTCCTGCGTGTCTCATGGTTCTCACCATGCCCTTCCTTTGAATCACAATCCCTCTGAACTTTGTGAGGATGCTTCTTTTTCTTTTTAGAGACAGTGTCTCCTTCTGTTACCCAAGCTGACCTTGAACTCCTAGATACAAGTGATTCTCCTGCCTCAGCTTTTAGAATAATAGGCTACTGGAGCAAGCCCTCCATCTGGATTCAAAGGGATCCTTGAGAAGATGGTTGTCATGCTCTTTGTTCTCAATGGGCTCCATTTTAGCATCTTCAGATGTAGCCCGTGTGATGGTTTGTCTGGAGTAGGGAAGAACCCACTGTCAGGATGGCAGCTGAGTCCCTGCTCTATGCCCTGTTCTGGGGGAAATGCATGCCCTGTAAGGAACAATCCAGAGTTTATTAGCCAGACTGGGCTGGCTCTGATGAAGGCCGGGCCCGGCAGTCTCTTTCTTTCCTTCCATCTTCCCCGATGCCCTGAGATCCCATTCCCAGCCTCCACACCTTACCCCAGCTACTCATTCCTTGTGGTGGGACTGGAGATGGGGCTTTGCAAAGCAACAGGATCTGCATAGACCTTAGCGGAAATAACATCGATTTGGGAGTCAAGACTGCTAGGGTTTGATTTCAGGCTGTGAGTCTTTTGGGGGGAGAGTAGGAGATGTCTTGAGTGAGATTTCTCACCTGGAACTTCAGCTCTCTCAGCTGATAAGGAGAGGACTAGTCCTATGCCTGTCCCTGGGCTTTAGTGTAGGGATGAGGACATGATGCTTTATCCTTTTGTTGTTCAGGGAGTTGCACCCTGGAGCAGAGCAGGCCAGGCCAGGTCTCTCCCTGAGCACATATTCAAAAGTGTCTTTTTTAAATTACATTTAAAATTTCACTGTATATGTGCTTGCATGTGCCGCGTCCACCCTCGACCAGCAAGGAAAAACGCAACACCCGGAGCTCTTCTTACAGCAGTTTTCAGGACTTTATTCACAGCAATCTATCTCCTTCTCCTTCTCTTTCTCTCTCTCCTCTCTCTCTCTCTGGGCAAACCTCTCCCAGCCCTTAAGTAGGCATGGGCTGCCAACCCCGACTGCCAGGTGGGCACTGCCCATAGATTCACGCATATGCAGGCAGCTGATAATCATTGCATTATCAGGCCCCAGCCAATATTAGGAGCTGATTATCAGGTGTGGCTCCATGCTGCTCGCTACATGCAGGCACATGACCATGCACGCATGTGGAGATCAGAGGGCATTCTGGGGGAGTTGGTTCATGGCTTCTCCCATAGGGGTTCTGGAGACTGATCTCATCATCAGGGTTAAGCAGCAAGCCCCTTTACCTGCTGACCCATTTTGCCAGCCCCACCCTGGACACATTAAGAAGTCAAACCTCTCCAAATGTTGCACACCCAGATTACACACTGATGACTTTGCCAGTTGGCAGTGGGGCTTAGGGTGTGAATGAAAGCATTGAAAGTCTGCTTGGGGCTTGAGAATGGGGTACTAGGCTTTAGGAAATCCTGAGCTCTGCCACTGCTCATTCTCCTGCTCCTTTGTATTTGTCTTTATCTTTGACAAATCTTACTGTGTAACCCAGATTAGCCTTTCTGCTTCAGCCTCCCAAGCCTAGGATGGGTTAGTTCTGAGAGCCAGAGTCCAGTGTGCTGAGCCCAGTGTTACCTTCCGAGAGGAATAGTTCCCGAAACTGTCTTTGCTGGCTGTTCTGTAGACCTTTGGTGATGTCACCTTGGGTGTGTCAGACCCAACACTCTATCTGCTTCCCTGCCTCCCTTTGCTACTGTGAAACCTTAGAAAGGGATAGCCCAAGGACATGGTGAGAGGACACCACAGGCCTCAGAGCCCGGCTTTGTGTGTGCTGGAGGAAAGGGGCAGAGTCAAGACAGCACAGTGGATGCCCAAAGTGGCATCAAGATTTTCCCACCTGCGTAAGTTTGGACAATAGGTATTCACCCATTGCGTCAAATGGAACATGGCATGGAAACCAAGCCAATGGAGCCGCGGGAGACGATGACACGCTACAGTACTGGAAAAAGAGTGAAAAAACGTACGGCTAAAATTCTGTGTTTGGGTTGCCTTTCGTGGTACACTTCTGTAATTCCCATTTGCTCAGGAAGCAGAGGCAGGAGGATTGAAGTGCAAGCTCAGCCAGGGTTACAAAGGAAGATTGTGTTTCAGAAAACACAACACAGCTGGGCCTTTTAATCCCAGCACTCAGGAGGCAGAGGCAGATGGATCTTTGAGTTTGAGGCCAGCATGGTCTACAGACGAGTTCCAGGACAGCGAGGGATACACAGAGAAACCCTGTCTCGAAGAGAGAGAAGGGGGAGGCAACAGATGGTGGGAGGGAGGAGGGAGGGAGAAGAGAGTACGCTCACAGGAAGAGTCTGGATTTGAGTCAGACAGCTTGAATAGGTAGATGAGCCTCCAGTACCCTCCCCTGTAATCAGCCTTGGTCATGTGACCTGACCAGTGGGAACAGACAGTGCCTTCTCACTTCCCTAGGAAATATTTCAAAGATCATCAGCAACCCCAGGCTCTTTTTTTCCTGATCCTATGATTAGAAGATGCGTGTATGAAAATGGGACCCCCAAGGAGCTAAGGTCTGCGGTTATTAGAATAGACACCACTCTCAAGTTTTTCCTTGAAGGGGCCTGTACAATTAGTCCACCAAGACTGGGCCGTGAATTAACGTGCAGCTGCAAACGCCAGCCTGGTCTCACAGTAGTACACTTGGGAATTGTTTATTTCATTTAATAGAAAAGCAACACAATAGGACAGGCACAAAGACACAACTGAGTCTCGTGGCAGTGCAGGGCACCTTCCCTGTCTTCTGTTGCTGCTACTTGCTGCTGCTCTTGGGAGGGGGCCGGTAGACTCCGACGACCACAGCGTGATCCCTCTCATAGGGCTCCAGGGTTAGCTGCTCCTGTGGCTTCAAGTTCTCCTGTTGCAACTTCTTCACCTCGGAAGCAAACACAGCCTCCGCGGACGCTGTGGAGTCGATGCAGTTGGCCTTGATGGAAATGAGAAAGTGGCCTCCGTTGCGCAGAAAGGTGTGGGCGTTCAGCGCCACGATGCGGGACTGGTCCGGCTGGGCCACGTCGGCAAAGATCACGTCTACCATTCCGATGAGCATGCGGTACTTGAGCGGGTGCCGGGCATCTTCCAGTACCGGGATGATGTTGGTGCGTTTCTTGGCCACGTTGACCAGATCTCGGCCGGCGCGGTGGGAAAATTCAACCGCGTAGACCAGGCCGTCTGGGCCTATGATGTCGGAGACGTGAGAGACAGTGGTTCCCGAAGCGGCGCCCAGATACAGTACTTTGGACTTGGGCTTGATGTGAATCTGGTCCACGCCACCCAGGATGGCAGCGGCCAGTTTGGAGCGGAAGGGGTTCCAAGTGCGGTACTCCTGCTTCTCGCCGTTCTCCGTCACGGTGACGCGCTTCTCTCCGTACACCGAGACTCCCGGTACCATGTTCAGGGTGACCAGCGCGTCCTCCGCGCCGCGGTAAATGAACACGCCCTCGTGCCGATGCGGCTCCACCGACACGGCAATGGCCTTCCTGCGGCGGTTCTTGTTCTTGGCCTGCCCGCCGCGCCGCTGCCCGCCGCCGCCGCGGTCCCTGCCGTCGCCGCCGCCACCGCCGCCGCGCCCCCGGCCCCGGCCCCGGCCGCCGCCGCCGAAGCCGCGCGTGCGCGCCCCAAAGCCTCCTTTGCCCCCCGAACCAGAGTCACCTCCCTTGCCGCCTCCCTTGCCGCCTCCCTTGCCGCCACCCCAGCCCCAGCCGCCGCGGCCGCCCGCCGGTGTCATGGCCTCGGCAGATCTCGGAAATTGCCGCGATGGTCGGGGATCGCCAGGGACCCTGGGCGGTTGCTGCGGAGGGGGGACAAGTGGGTGGCGGCGGCCGCCCTCAGGATTAACCGCAGCTGGATGCAGGGGTCTGGGGTGTGCGCATCCTGGGATCCACGCGTTGACGCGGTGACTTGCGTGATTGCATCACAGCCGTTTTGCCGACCCTGTAGCCCCGGAAGCCCCCCTATTCCACCTGTGCGCAGACGCAGCCTTCTCATTTGTAACCCCTTGTCTTCTCTCTTTGCCTGGGTGCTCTGCTCTCCTGGGGACTCTGGGTTCTTCTCCCAGACCCCTCCCCTATACCTCCCACCTCTGCCAGTGGCCTGAGTCTCTGTGGCAGGAGAGCGGAAGCCCGCATTTGATCAGTCCTTGTGTCCCTTGCTTGCCTGCCTATGTGGCTGCAGGAAATTTATCTGGCTCTGAGGATTTGTTTGAATTGGCAAATTTCTTGAACGGTTTGAACCTTGTCATTCCATCTGTAAAAATAGAACCCACCTGTACAGTTCCTCATCCACTTACAGTTTGACACAGCCTCGGCGCTCCTCTATAGACTTAACTTGTTTCCAATTTTATATTGCTCTTGATTAACCTTTATAACGGGAATAAATGCATTAGCTTTTGGTCTCTTTAAAATAAAAGCACTGCGCTGGGCGGTAGTGGCACACTCCTTTAATCCCAGCATTTGGGAGACAGAGTTGGGTCTCTGAGTTTGAGGCCAGCCTGGTCTACAGAGTGAGTGAGTTCCAGGACAGTCAGGACTGTTACATAGAGAAACCCTGTCTCAAAAAAAACAATAAACAAACAAACAAGCAAGTAAGCAAAATAAAATAAAATAAAAGCATTGCCCTTGAACGTCTGCTTTTTGAGATGGCATAGATCTCCAAACTGGTAATATATTATGACAAGGCATTTAAACAGCATACCTATATTCTGGCATAATTATTATATGCCAGAATTATTCCTCTTTGAACAATATCCCAGAGACATAATTCTTTTTTGTTGTTTTTGTTTTTGGAGACAGGGTTTCTTTGTAGCTTTGGAGCCTGTCCTGGAACTAGATCTTGTAGACCAGGCTGGTATTGAACTCACAAAGATCCATCTGCCTCTGCCTCCCAAGTGCTGGGATTAAAGGCGTGTGCCACCACTGCCCGATGAGACATAATTCTTGCACGACACGATGACAATTGGGCACATAGGATGAAATCGGTGACGATGGCCTTTGTGATCACTGTGGAAGTCCTGAAGGAGGTGAGGAGTGGACCAACCCAAGAGATAATTAGAAAACAGAATACATAGGAATTGCTATCATAATTGGCTATTGGAAATTAGAAGGAAAGAATTTTCTGATTGTTATTAATTATTGTTGTGCTATCGTGTGACTAACCTGAGGCCTTTTGAAAGCTAAGCAAGAACTTTCCCTGAACCACACCTCCAACCTGAGAAAAATTTCTATTCTGAGGATTGCCGAAGCATCATCCCCTCCTTGCTGGCTAAGTGCCAGCAAGTGCAAGCTTCAGTAGTTACCTGCTTAGTTTTTCTCTATCAACTGTGTTAAATTTCTTGCACAAGAAAGTGAGTGCTCAGTGTGAATGGGGGCACACAGATCAGAAACCTAAACCTTACAACACTTCAGGGCAAAGGAAACGGCATGTTTACCTTTCATCTTTGCTTCAAAAACCCACTCTTTCAATCAAACCTTGAGGAAAGAGAGGCATCAACGGGCAGCACCAAGGACAGAAACATGCTTGTTGGCACAGGCTTTAGGTTCCAGTCAGCACCAGGGACAGCGATCACAAAGCCAGGAGCTTTGGTGGCTTTGGGGGCACCCCTATGCTGGACTACCCTGTAGGATGTAAACACCCGTCTGGCCTCCCGGTTAGTGGGATTAACCGTCAGCTCCAGAGAAGCGGAGTGTACCTGAGGATCAGAACATGAGCCAGGACGATGTTGAATCTCCAGATGTGCACACCATTAAAGTCTGTCCTTCACCCCCTCCTGTCCTGTCTCACAACCACAGACAGCAATGGCAGGGCTGTTTTGTCCTGAGGGTTGTAAGCCTTCTTGATGGGAACCACAAGTCTACGTTAGGATGCAGATAAGGTGGCAGAAGGAGAAATACACAATTTTTGGTTCACGGAAAACACTTATTACAAAGTGAAGAATATTCTCTAAAATGAGAAGCTGCATTTGTTGTTTTGGTTGTGTTTTCTCCAATCAGACCTCATGGTAATTAATTTCTGTGTCTACTTGACTTGGTCATGCAGTGCCCAAATAATCCAATAATATTAGTCAAATATTATCCTGGGTGTTTCTGAGCTGGTTTTTGGATGAAGTTAACATTAAAATCGGTTGCATGAAACAGTTGTCCTGCATTGTGTGGGTGAGTTTCATTTAATCAGCTGATGGCATGAATAAAATAAAAGGCTGACTCTTCCCAAGGGAGAGAGAATTATGCTACCAAGTAGCCTTTGACCTGGCATATGAGTTCTTCTTCTCCAACAACTGTTGACTGAGGTTTCTGTCCTGCCTGGTTCCTGCAGTCGTTAAGTCCCAAAGAAATCACACAGAGGTCTACATTACTTATAAACTGATTGGCTTAACTCTAATAACTTATATTAACCCATTATTCTTTTTTTTTTTGGATTTTTGAGACAGGGTTTCTCTGTAGCTTTTTTGGTTCCTGTCCTGGAACTAGCTCTTGTAGACCAGGCTGGCCTCAAACTCACAGATATCCTCCTGCCTCTGCCTCCTGAGTGCTGGGATTAAAGGTGTGCGCCACCACTGCCTGGGTCTTAACCCATTATTCTTGTCTATATTAGCCACATGGCTCAGTACCTTATTCGGCAAGGCAGTCACATCTTGCTTCTTCTGTGGCTGGGTCATGACTGCAGACCAAGCTTTATTCTTTCCAGAGTTCTCCTGTCTTGTTGCCCTGCCTCTACTTCCTGCCTGGTTGTCCTGCCTATACTTCCTGCCTTGCTATTGGCCAATCAGCATTTTATTAAAATATGACTGACAGGGTACAAACCACTGTTCCACAGCAAACAACTTTTGAAGAAGGATGTTAATTTTGAAGATTTAGAATTTTTCCAGAACCCATAATTGCATGAAAAATATATTCATGCATGCACACACATTTGTGTGTGTGCACGTGCAGGCATGCGTGTGTGTGTGTGTGTGATTATTTCCCTGCAGATTCTATTTTTCAGAAAAATCTACAGATCCTGAGTGGAAGACTTGAGTCCACACAATCCCAACGGAGGTGATGCCAAGAGGCACACACAGGGCTAGGAGAAAGAAGACAGGGCAGCTAGGAAGAACATACTGATGATAAGCAGATAAACACTGTGGGAGGCTGAGGTCAACTGGTCCTCTTAGGAATGGTGTGGGAAGCATCCATGGAAAGGATGTGCTGGGGGCTGCAGGGCTGGGAGGTTAATCCACCATTTTCCCCTTCCTCTCCTTGGGAGCAGTTTTGGGGCCTTATTTGCCACCCTTCAGATTGATCTCATAGCCTCTGCCTATAAAACTACAATGTACCTCAGGCACTGTCCACCTTGTTTGTCTGACACTCACTGTTTAGTTCAGGTTGACTGGCTCATCAGCCCTGGGTGTCTAATCGTCTCCATCTCCTCAGTCATGGGATTACAAGTGCACACACCATACTTGGCTCTTTGCATGGGCTTGGGGATTGAACTCGGGTCCTACTGCTTGCATGGGCAAGCCCTCATGTCTTCTGCTCAATTAGATTGCAGTCATGTGTTCTTGTTACCATGGCTCTGTAATATAATTTGGGTTTGGGTTTTACACCCCTCCCCCAGCATTGCTCCTTATGCTGAGGACTGCTTTTGATATTCAGAGGTTTTTCTTTTTCTTTGCACTAAATTTAGAATTGGTTTTTCTAGTTTCGTGAAGAATAACATGGGAGTTTGGTGAGGACTGCATTGACTCTGAAGTTTATTTCACAATACTAACATCACTTCCACAAAACTAGTTCTCCCAATTCAATAGCACGGGAGATCGTTCTAGTGTCATCTCCAACTTCTCTCTTCAGTGTCTTAAAGTTGTCACAGTAGAGCTCGTCCACAACATTGATTAGATAATCCTAGGGTATTTGTTGTTTGTGTTTGTTTTTTGAGACAGGGTTTCTCTGTGTCCTGGCTGATCTGGAACTTGTTCTGTAGATTGGACTGGCCTGGAACTCACAGAGATCTGCCTGCCTTTAGCTCCTGAGTGCTGGGATTAAAGGCATATGCCATCATGCTTGGTTATATATAATTGTTATCTTCACTTCCTCCTATGATCCTCTCTTGTCCCCCTCTTGCTATGGCTGCCATATGGCAGCATGGAGTGGGGAAAAATGATCCCCCTCCTGCCCATCACCACCTAAGGCAAGTGGGAGAGTGGACTTTGGGGTAACAAGAGTGGAAGAACAGTCCCTGCCCACCATGGGGTGCAGCACTTGGGAGAGCAGGCCCTGCACCTCACCAGGTCGGCTCAATAGAGCCAACCCAGTTAGCGGAGATGTGGGGGAGCCGACCCTGAAGCTGTGAGCATAGACGAGCTGTCTCCATGACTCATCTGTCTTGTGACAGCACAGGTGAGTGGAAAGATGCCCTCCCCCACTCATCAGTACCTGAGGCGGGTGGGACAACTGGCCCCGAGGTCATCAGAGCAGAAGAACGGGCCTTGCACCCAGCCTGGATAGCACAATAGTGTCAATCCTCTAAGTGCAGGTGGTGGTCAGCTATGTAGTCGTCAGCATGGGAGAGCTGTCTCTGTCACCCATCTGTCTTGTGGCAGCAGGAGCAGGGGAAGTATGCCCTCGCCTTCCTGCCACCAATGCCTTGAGGCAAGGGGGACAACTGGCCCTGAGGTCACCAGAGTGGGAGGGCTGCCCCTGGCCCCCACCAACTCAGGAGAGCAGGCCCTGTAACCTACCTGGACAACATAATAGGGCCAACCCTGTTAGCAGAGGTGTGGGCGAGGCAGCCCTGAAGTTGAGAGTGTGGAAGAGCTGTCCCCACTACTCACCTGTCATGTAGCAGTGGGGGTGGGGAGATAATCTCCCCATATCTGCAACATACCACCTGCAACCGAGAAGAGAGCTGACCTTTCCCCTTGCCAACTGCAGCACTCAGGAAAGCAGGTCCTGCTCTTGGCCTGGGATGCACAGCAGAGCTGACCCTCTTTCCAGAAGTGAGGGTGACCCAGCCCTGATGTTTTGAGCAAGGGAGAGCTGTCCCCGTTACTCATCTAACATGTG